CCCACGGTTCCTGCCCTTTCCCAGTCTTCTGTCTTTCATTAACCACACAGCTTCCATTAATTTTGTTCCTGTTTGTAGTGTGATTCTGGGACATTTACCTCGGGGTGTGGGGTGGGGGGTGGGGAGAATATAATGTGATTTCAGGTAGACTGGAAGATAACCCAGAGTTTTAAGTATTTCACCCCTGAACTCAAAATTGCTATGTCCACAACTAAAAGACATACCTGTTAGCAGGAACTGCGAAAAAGGAAGAGCCACTTTTCATGTGGAGATTCCAGAACTAGAACTTAGAAGAAATGCTATAGCAGATCAAGCCAGCGGCTCATGCACACAGCACAGTGCTTGGTCTTTGATGACTGCTCGCGAGGAAATTCTGTTAAAGAGTCTAATTGTCCTCCTGCTGTGTCTGTCTAAGATTCAAATGTACCAGCTTCAGCTCTTTAGTTGGACGTCGCATACTCATCCCTTTGCCCCTTCTCTATTCAATGCAACTGCCCAATCCACACACAACTTTACCAAAGGAGCAGCCATGGAAGAAGTCTGACCAGTAGTAACGGGCTGGGGGCCAAACGACACTTAAAAATAATCGTGTGTCTTTTCTAAAACCAAATGCATTCTGGATGCCACTCTACTGAGTAGGTTTTCCTAAAGCGGCAATAACCACCTTTGATTGGACAAAATAGCTCGTAGAAATTTCAAAAGTGACTTCAGAATTTTAGAAGCTGAGTTTTATTATTTACATGGAAGACACAAGTGATCAATTAAAATAATATGAACAGCCATCAAGTTAATAACTAGAAAGGTATATCAAACGTTTTAAGTGTTTTTCTTTTTAACCAATAATTTTGAAAGACAACCCCTTTTGCTAGTGGTAACTTATGAAAATGAGTTCTACAGCCTTCCTTTTTAACTTTCAAAATACTGAATACTAGGAAGTTTCCAAAAGTTAGTGGAAAAAATGGAATGAAAAGATATAGTGAAGAATGTTTCCACGAAATTTGTGCTGCCCCCTCATGTATACATGGTCTCCATTTATAACCTTATGGGATAGAATCTAGTGTTCGGTTTCCATTTTGCAGAAGTATGAAATATGTAAAGAAGTTCAGAGATTTCTCAAAGGCACACACATGGTTGAAGAAAGGAACAGGTAAGAGTGGTTGCCTCTAAAGGTGATTTTACAACTCTTTTTAATATAACTGCACGGTGGAAGTATATAATATGTGAACCAATGTCAATAAAACGATATTTAAAAAGGAATGGTTGTCTCATTTCCCCCCTTTTTTTCTCTAATTCACGATAACAGGCAGTAGCTCTAGATTTTGTGATAACTGAAAGTTCTAAAAACACATCAGAGAGCTCAAAATAAGGTTGCCAATTTTGTTATTTTTCTAGGGAACGGCAACAACAACAAATTGATTGCTACTTATAATTTCTATCGTATTGTAAAACTATCTTTTCTTTTAATTTCCCCAAATAGGAAAAAGATCATCTTAGAAAGGGGGATGTTCTTGAACCTCATAAAATTCGCTTTCTGAGAAAGTCCCGCCATCCAGCATTTTCCCCCTTTTGTTGTGCACTGGTGAGAAGTTGCTGTGGTCTGGGGCTAGGCTTCTTCCTCTTTGGGCTGCTTCACAAGTTATACTCGCTCGTCCACATCTTTTCCTCCTCCTCATGTTGCAGTCACTAAGAAGAAGAAAGCAGTAACTCTAAAACTTGTCCCTCTGGAGAGTCTATTCCTCTACTGCTACTCTAACGAAACCAGGTGTGTCATGACACCCCTATCTTAACCCAGAGCGACTGTTGGCCTGGGTTTGGGGCACCACGGAAGCAGGAAATACAGAGGCAGCACGGTGCCCAATAGAAGGTAGGGCTCCCGTATTGTTTTCCAGGGAGGAAAGGGCAGGGGAAATGCTTTGGGACTTCTTTCCCATTTCTTACTCCTCTTCCAAACTCATCCAAGAAAATCCTGACCACAATGACTTCTGTCTAAACCAGTGGTTCTCAACCTTTCTCACGCTGTGGCCCTTTCATACAGTTCCTCATGTTGTGATCCCCAAACATAAAAAATTTTGTTGCTACTTTATAACTGTAATTTTGCTACTTTTATGAATCGGGGGACCCCTGTGAAAGGCTGCCCGACCCCCAAAGGGGTCATGACCCACAGGTTGAGAACCGCTGATCTAAATGGAGGCTATGCCTCACGTCATTGCTTCCATCACCACCCACCTCCACGCCTCCCCTACACTTTGATAAGAAGCTCCTACATCTTCAAAACAACTAAACTTCTAATTGCATAAAATGGAATCAGTTATTAGTCATCAAACTGTACTAAAAAGTCCATGGGGATTCTGGTTTGCTTATAGGCTGTACTTTTTTTGTTTTTAAACTTGTTTTGGTGACTTCGGTGAAGGTTTACAGAGCAGTTCATCATTTCGTGTTCAACGATTTCTGGAATCTCCCAATGGCTTGCCCTGTGGCCGCCATTTTTGGCCTCAGCTCCTTCTTGTTGGATATCATCTTCCCCTTTACCCAAGTCCACACCTGTCCACTCCTAGCCTATTACTTCTCCTCCCACTTCCATCAGAGTCTGTTTCTTTTAGTGTGAAAGCCTTTTCTTCATGTTTAAGCACCGGTGGCCGCACCCGGTGCTCGTCATTCTGTGACACACTCATTTCACTCAGCGCGACGTCCTCCAGGCTCGTCCATGGCACGAGGCCTTTCACAGGCACCCTTCTCTGACGCTGAGTTCCGTCTGTGGGTTCCTCTGAAATTGGTATTTTTTCATGTTGGCTGTGTTGGTAATTTGTTGTGGACATTATGGTCACTTCCTCCAAATAAAATCAAACCCCTCCCCCAAATCTCATAACCGTCCGCAAGTCACGGTCTTTGAGGAGGGTGCTCCACAGGCTGTGTAGTGAAAGGAAGGCGTTTGGTCATCCAACCCCATCATTCTCATCAAGTCTCCTGACGGTGTCCCAGCAAGGAGGTCTCCACAGCAAACCCCGCGACGTGGAGAGAAGCTCACGCAAAGCATGCTGGCTGATGGTCTTGTTGCAGAGGTGCAGTGCCACGAGGAGTCCCAAGTAATACATTCCCAGAGGATCATCAAAGGGACACAGCAGGTCATTTTGTTCCTCTCTGACATACACATTTCAACAACGACCAGAAAATTTCTATGAGTTAGAGACTGACACCGGAATATCATTAAATGACTACATCCTCATATCAAAATGTATACCTGCTTTGTGTTTCTTAAGGTATATTAAATATTTGAATACATATCCTCATGGTTTTGTTTTAATTTAAGAATATGATGTGGTAGACGGCATGATTTCCATTCCATTGGATCTGGAACTGAAGTTCAGAGAGGTTGTATGATTTGTTGAAGAGCTGGGACTTAGCATCCCAAACAGATTGGGCTTACCGTCCCCTTTGCAGAAAAAGATAAATGGACTCAGTACCCACCTGGCAATGGAAATATTGTATACTCCAGCCCATCACCCCAGATAGCGTGTAGGCATCAGCTTCTGCAGGCCCATTAGATTGTGCCTCTAGCCCTCTGCGGGAATTGTTCATGCCCACTCTTAGGTAGATCCTCAACCAGGTCCTTCGACTACAGGTTTAAGGGGTTTTTCCACTGAACACATTCTTAAAGGTAAGCCCAAGAACAAAATGAGGGCGCAAGGCCTGGCTTCCATTCCAATCCAGGAAGAAAGCCAATCTGTCAAGAACTCTCAAAGAAGGGCTGCCTATAATATAAACAGAGTAAACAATGGGGTGGAGGCAGGGAGATGTGGGTGAAAATGCATTGGTTTTCGCACCACTATTAATACATGCGCTGTCTTTGTTCTTCCCAGTCACTTCCCTAGAGTTCTTCACGGAAGTCTGACACTTTAGGGATGCCCGTGAACCCAGGGAAAGAAATCACAGTGGCCAATCAGAAATGAATCAAAGCCAGCCCTCAGCCCCTGTTTCCATTATACCTAAGTCTCTCAAGAGAAATGCAGTAGTGACACCAAATCTTGAAAAGAGACGGGACTGATGTAAACCACGCGCTTTCCTGGTTTCCATACCGGGTCACATATACAGTATTCCATAGTTCCCAACAGCATAAAGGGGGTTACATACAACCTGTGCTTTGCAACACAAAGCAAAAACAATAGGTAAGTAAAAGAAAGCTGTGACAACTGCAGAGTTAGCGCATGTTTATTAACCACGTAAAATCATGGCAGTTACTGCACGGAACATGTGTCACGAAGAGCTTGTCTATGTTAAGTAGGCGAGCCTCTAAAAGCCAAATCAGCACTCAACAACAGCCAGTGTTAATGCAAACCAAAAGTTGGGGCAGCATTAAAGAATACGGTTCAGATTTGAGCGTTATGATATGATAATATCATAATAATATTACGTAATTATTATACTATAACAAGATCTATTTTGAACATAATAGTCATAGTATAAACATTCGTTTCACAGCTTGCTCTGACTCCTCATTCTCTCAAAACAGAAGACCGTCAAACCCAGACTCATCAGGAATCATTTCCAAGGGCAGGGCGAGCGAGCGTGGCAAAGCAGGCGTGGCTACTGTATTTGCCTCTGCCCCTCCTCTTGGAGCTTGATGAAAACGTTAATTTTTACATATGTGAATAAATGGTGAAACAGCGAGCGGCTGGCGGTGGGCACCATGTGCTGGCAATCATTGCGGGTGGGTAAACTGACACCATGTAACTGCATATTAAGACAAATGTAGAATTTACACAAAGTATCCCATCGCTTTTCAGATGCATACTTTTAAACCTCAGGAACTGTTTTCAGTAGATGTCATGCCTTTTAACTTGAAAAACGATAAGCGCAAATAAGCTCCCAATTGTCTCCCCAATACGCAAACCACATCTCGGGCTGCGGTCTCTGCTTCTCCTTTGAAGTGTCCCTGAAATGTCATGTGTTGTGAAGACTGCTGTGCCTGAGCAAGACGATTTGCTCACTCGCAGGATTCTTACCGGTCTCCACTGCTATTTGGTACCCAGCCTCTAGTCTCCGAGATGACCTTTCCAGCCTCTCTGTGTTATCGAGCAGATGTGCCCTCTGAAAAAGAAAAAGGGGGAGACAAATCAGACGGCTGTCTACAATGTGCTCCACCACCCACTTAAAAAAAGAATGCTTTCGTAAGGGGAGCGTGGCAGGAGCACAACCCATTATGGATAATTTTTAGCAAGTCTTCCATTGTAAAAACCACTACAATGGGCAGATTTCTAATCAATTCAGCATGGGCCATCCATTTTGTTTTGTTTTGTTTTGTTTTAAAAGGCAGACTCCTGTTGTGTGTGGCCCTGAGGGATTACACCAGAGTACTGACACATTTACCAAGACCTGAGTCAACTGGCACCCTTCTGTCTATGCAGAGGTAGGCGTGTATATATATCGCCACCACCCCTATTTGTGTTGTTTTTTTATAAAAAGTAAAATCCAATCATTTAATGAAACAAACAAACCCATTTGGTCTTTTGCTTCCTACAGAAAATCCATTTTAGCAGAAACTGGATTTTTAAGAGGCTGCACCTCAATTTTGGATGGACAGCAAGACACTACCTAGAACAACACAGGCAACCAGGACAGAATGCTAAGTATAGCAGTGCTGGTACCAAGGCAGCTTGGAGCTGCCACCACCACCACCACCAGCAACCATGAGACACGTGCTTCTCCATGCACACGATGTACAAAACTGTGGGGCTGTCCCTGGATACATGGCACTAGATTTGAAGTGAACTTGGAAGATGTAGTGCTTTTGTTTATGAACTAAAACTATAATAATTGTATACAGCTATTTTACATGATACCTGATGGTGCAATAAGAGGACTTGCTCCTGATTCTGAGGCTCTTAAATTGCCTCTTGACAGTTAGACTCTTTTTTTTGTAAACTATAATAAATAGGCACTAGTTCGATCAAGGCTGCCCAATTTCCATAAGCTAATCATGAATGTGAATAGAAAACAATATTGCCCATACATGTGAAAGACTGTATCTATGTGCGTGTTTCCTTATAAATACTTAGAAATGCATGTCTCTGTGTATCTGAATATTTGTGTTTGCATGTGCACATACCCCACCCTCACCTTCCCAAGTCAGTTTTGGTCTCAGGTCAAAAGGAAAGAAAGAGAAAAGCACAACGACAACTGCGACAACTTTGTGTTGTTGACAGATGTCACTTAAAATCGAAGAAATGCTTTCTAATAATAATAAAAAAGGAGGTGCCACACATAGTATCTGAGTGGCTGTCGAGCGAAACGATCTACCTTGCTCTAATGAGCCCCCATGGATCTTGGAGACGCAAGCGGTATTGACATGCACACTTAAGCTAATGCACCTAGACCAGTACCTCCAAGCACTAGCAGCCAGGGATGCTGACAGAATATCTCGCTCCCATCTTCAAAGCAAGGAAGTGATTAGTATGTTATCATTACCATTCAAAACGTGATTTCCTTATTCCCTCCCGGCATAGGTGACACATCTGAGATGCGGCCAGACGTTGGAGGCAGCTAAAGCCACATCAAAGCTTTCCTTGGGAAAAAAAAAAAATTGCGGGGGGTGGGGTGGGATGCGCAGAGGTTGCAGGGGAGGGAGTCATTAAAACAATGCATTTAGAACAGAGAGATAGGGACCTGATGTGAAGGTCAGAAAGCTTGCAAAACAGCCTATAATAATGAATAGAGTTATCTAATATACAGTGGAGAAGTTAATAGAAAAATTGCCTGTCTTCTACCTCCACACCTGCAAAGTAAAACAAAAACAACTGAATAAATAAAAGGAGTTGGGAATGGGAAGCTTCTAATATCAAGAAAAATAAAATCACTGCAAGCTCTGGTTGTGGATCAAAAAAAAGTGGGGTTTCTATGGGTTTTGGATTGATGACTATTTTCACATAAAATTAAACACTTTCCAAGGCTTCTCAAAATTAGCGTTCTTGCTCCTAATTCTCTCTGCAGGCAATGGCTCTGAGGTAGGGAGCCCTCGGCCCTTCCAGAACGATGATTTTTCTACCTAACAAAGGGCTTCAACTTCACATCGAGGAGTCCTGATAAAGGTATCAGTCAGATCAGTAAAACCAGGAGTCCATCTGAATTTTAATCCAGAATAAGGGTACAAAAGAGTGTGAGTTCATTTTCCTATTGAGAAGAAGTCCTCGTGTTAAACGGAAAACATTTAGCTACTGGAGATCAAAACATAATACTCATCAAAGATCGGTATAGGAAATGGGCACTCTTAGAAGGCGATAATGTATAACGTAGGAAATAAAGCATTAAATGTAGAATGTGTGTGGGTGGGGTGGGGTGGGGGGTATCCCATGAAAGACAACCGAATAAGATTACGCAATGTGTGGCTAGTCTGGTTTTCTAAATTTTTCACAGAACTTTTGAGAAAAGATGTACATTCCTAAATAACGGCACTCCTCCAGGCCAGCTCCATCTGTCCACAGCGGCCTCTCCTCTTTACCAGGCGCCTTCCAGCAGGCCTTCATTTTGTGTTTCGGAACCTCTTCACTGAAGTCCAACTAAAATCAAGTTCTTGCAGCAGCGGCGCCATGGACATTGTTCCCGCGGTCGCACGCAGAATGAAAGGGACTCCGCTCCCGGAGCAGCAGGCGCTTTCAACTTGGCCGCCCCCCCCCACTCCATCCCAAACTCACTCTCTCACCCTCACCCTCCGCAGCCCTTTTCAAAGCAGGTAAAGTGCCGCTGCGCGGGGTTGCAGACAGAGCTCGACGTGTGGGGGGCTGGCGCGACGCAGCGAGCCAGCGAGCGGGGGTGGAGGGTTCCCACGGCGGGCGCGCGGCGCACCTTCCGCGCCACGGCACCGCCCGGGCACACGCTCAGTGTGCGAGCACAGGCAAACACGCCCCCTGCGCTGCTGAGGTCCAGGCCGGCCGAAATCTGGGGAACTCTCCCTTTGGCTGAGCAGCAAACACTGCCGAGTAAACCCCAAACGAATGTCATGGCACCACCACGCTCCACCCTGGAGTGTAAATGATTACCCCCTAACGAGGGCTGTGACCAGAAAGGAGAAAAAGAGAAAAAAGCTCCCAACTGTCGTGCAAGGGAATGCTTCCCATCGTAGTCCCATCCCAGCATTCCAGGACCCCAACTGAAGAAGCTACAAGCGCAACAAAAGAGCCAGGCCCAGGAACAATAGGGAGACACGTGTTAAAGGGGACGCGCCGCCGGCCGGGATGGAGGCAGCTTTCAGAAGGGCACTTCCGAGCCCGTGCCACTCAGCTTCACACACCAGAATCATAGCTCGCAAATGCTGACGGAAGAAGGCGCGCGGTTTTCTCAATCGTATTCACGGCTTTAATTTCGGGGGAGAGTGTCCTGTGTTGTGAGGGTCCAAACCTTACTGAAAATCCAGTCCTTAGGCCGGGGCAGACGCAAACACACAAGAGCAGATAGTCTCCAAAGATCATGATGATGTCTCCTCTACCACCCACCGTAAGAATCTACACCGAAGCTGCAAGGGGTTGTTTACGTTTAGTACGTGCGCACACACGCTCCCAGGAAAGGCGCATTCAAAGCGCAGAAAGGTGAGGTTTCTGTTTGTCACCCCCCACCCCCCCTTCTTACAGTTCCTTATTACTTTTACTCAGAGTGGGCTCGCCCCAGCACACCTCAAATGAGGGCAGCTGTTGAACACACCCTAACACCATAAGCTGGGGGCTTCTAAACAGGCACGCCCATCACCTGGTGAATGGTGGCGTTCTCACAATTGTACAACGAAAAGATTCGAGGGACATCCCCGTGAGTGGACTCACTACACTACACGTACACCTAAAGCGGATGCACTGATTACTGTAAGCCGTTAGACGTGAATTTTCAAATGACAGTAGGGTCCACTATTTCATGACCTGATCCAAAAGAGACAAAAGTCAACCCCAACTTCTAAATAAATATAATAATGGCTCTATCATTGACAGGGATACCAAAGAATATTTGATGTTTGTCTAATAAAAATAACAGAATCGGCCGGTCGTGGACAATGAGATAAAAATGTGCAAACGCTGCTACAAATGTTTGCTGGGCTACAAAGAGTCTGGAGCTGCATTCTGAAGCAGTCTAGCAAATTCATGAAAAGGAGATCTCACTCGGGTGCTATTTCCTACAAATGGGAAAGTGTTTAACAATGACCAGCACTTTGGCTATTCTTAGGGATCTGTGTACACAGACTAGTAGGGCATTTATAACATATGTGTGCTTACTCGAAAGGATAATAGTGCCATCGTGTCTTAGGCTGTGGGGTGAGTAAGGAGTTGATTTAAAAACCGCTTTCGTCAAAGTGTATCAGAATATCTTAAGAACCATTACAATAGTCCCGTATGTCCCTTTTTGAGAAAAGGATACAAATAAAATAAATCTGAACTTGCAGTCCCCCCGATCACCACACCCTGGAATCCTCGTAAGGAGGGCTCCTTTCTTTTTTCTTTTTCTTCTGCCTTTAAAGCGTGATGCCACTAAACAACAATGATGTCTGGGCTAATAAACATGATGAGGATAAAGCTGTTTTTAAATGACGGTCAGTAGAGAATATTTATAAACAATATAATCGATAACCTGGCTAGGCACAGAGTTCCCTTGAAAAATGAACTCAAAAACCCACTTCAGATTTAGGAAAATCCATTTTACCAAGGGGCAACGCAGAATTTAAAGAGAAAAAATAAAAGCTAGGATGTACTCACCTCTTCACGTAATTTTATCAACTGCAACATGAATGCACACACAAAAAAAGATAAAAAGGAAAGAAATGGCAGGAAAGAAAGATCAGTTTTGTGACAGGAAACAGAATTAACATTGACAATTTATCTGTTTACATGTTTAGCATTTAAAAATCACAGACAAACACATTAAAAGAACCTAAACATAGACTACATGCCGAGTTTTTTGAACGAATAAAGATCACTTTCACACTGTCACATTAAACAAAGAGAATAGTGTGAAATTCTCTTTTAAAGTACATCTAAGACACCATCATGAAATAAAGCGGAACGACTTCATAGAAGTCTATATTATACAGAAAGAAAACAAGTTTACTGCTCCTTTCTTCTAAGACGGTACCACTGAAGAGGTTTTGTATATACAAGTTTTCGAGATGTTTCCCTATTTTTGAGTCATGACAGCTGATTTCATATTTTACCTATAAACGAAAATGATTACTAGTTCAGGCTTTGATCCCAATGAGTATTTAAAGCAGCAAATTATTTTGTTTAGAATGTCATACATCTGCCTACCCTAGTAATAGAATTGTATTTGGAGGTAACATTATTTTATTTCTGAATAAATTATGCCAGGCGAGATAGCATCTATCTGAGACACAGGATCAGAACTATATCTCATGAGCCATATATATATATTTTTTTTTTTTCAGAGTTAATTTTTCAGCTTTCTTCTTCTTCTTCAGGGGCCACCACTGCCACCACATAAAATGGCTTTATTTTCGCCTTGGAATAGCTTCTTCCTTTTTCTGTTTGTTTGAGCATTTTATAAATTGGGCCATCCCAATGCCCCAAGTTCTCCCACTTCATTTGCATTACAGACCATTTCACGAAAGCCAAATAAAAAGCCAGTCTTCGCTGGGTGGTAAATTCATCTATAAACCTTTTCCTATTTGCCTTAACGAAAATAAATAAAAACAACTTGCTTTACTCTTTAGAAATGATTAAGAATGATATACCTATATATCTGGCTCATTGTGTGTGTGTGTTTGTAAGTTTGGACGTATTCTAAAGCACAAAGGCCAAACTGAAACCGATGTTGTAAGAGAGACCGGAAACCACATCCGAGGTCTGAAACCTGCATCCTCAGCAAGTCCAGGTCTACAACTGGTCATTTCTAAGCATCCAAATATCTGTAACATCTGTTATAACTCTTGACTTCTGCAGGCTGAGAAATTAAACTATTGCTTTGGGAGAAGCGTGCATGGGTTGCTCACTCTAAGTCTTTCTAAAAGTATCATGTTTACTATAGCCCGATTTCTCAACGCTGAATGCAGTTTTTGTCTCCAGTTCCAGGGAGCCGGTATGCATTCCAGCTTATTCTGTTATTTCATTTGTTCTATGAACATTGTCTCCAGTACAAAAGAATGAGACTTCAAAACTCTTCGGAAACCTTTATTAAAGCGGCAGAATATCTATTCGCTGAGATCTCCCGTGCATTTAACTGGAACTTTTAATATCAATCTTTTAAAATAAAAAGTTGTCATTCTTTCTAGTGGGCAGATTCCGCTACAGCATGTATGGGTAAAACACTTCACATGAAAAGTTACTGTCCTTTCCTAGGAGGAAAAATTTAAACCAAACTGCGGCCTATCACATATTGGAATTGTTCTCCTTTGCTATCTGAACATCATGGGCGGGGGGCGGAGGGGAGAGAAAGGCCAACATTAATTCTTCTTAGAAAGAGACGTTCTGAGCATTGATCGAACTGCTATCTTTTCTTTCTGGGGACACCATTCTTCAGTTGACTATGATACTTAAAGGGCCAAAGTTTAAAACGACTCCTCTGCAATGGGGACCATTTGGGGCATGCCACCCTGCCATAATCAATGAGTGTTTAAAAATGCCCCCCATTTGCTTTTTCAATAGGTTCCAAACAAAAAAAGTGTTCTATCTTGTTTGTGCTGCATGGCTGCCTTCAAGGCCTACACCGGATTTGTAGCTAAGCTAGGTCATGGGAGGGTTTTTAATCTCTGTGAGTGTGTGTTTGTGTGGGTGCAAGTTAGGCGAGAGTTATTCATTCAAGTAAACAAAAGATGGCAATGCTGAGGCTTAGACTAAGAGTCGAAATTGCGTTATTTTATTAAGTTACTAGCTCCATCGTAGGAAGGAACGAATGCGTGCAATGCCACCATGTTGAATTACGATCAACAACATCTTTTTGGAAACATATTATTTTTTATTTGGCGGTGGTGGTGGTGGAGGTTTTTCCCCTCCCATTTGCAGAATTTGATACAAGAGGTAATCTGTTCTTTTGTGGGCTGCAAAATCTGGTTTACGCTGGTTTGAACCAGTGGAATCTAGTGGCTAAGCCTTCTGCTGTGACTAAAATCAAAACTGCGCTGCAGAGCATGTGAGGGTTCATGTGTGCGCGCGCGCCTTGTGTGCGAGGCAGTCATGTGACATACACACACACACACACACACACACAAAACTACAGATTTATTTATTTATTTATTTATTTTTCTAAAAAGCTGATAACGGCGGCTGCCGTCTCTGTCCGCACACAGATAACGAATAAATGCTGAACTCTATTAAACGCCCTTTACACATTATCGTGGGTCGAACACACAATTTTCAGAACTTAGGATAACAGTCTATTTATTTTGTTATAAACCCTCAGCACGTAACGAACAGATTTGTGCCTGGTAATGATCCGCTCTGCCGGGGCTATATGAAATGATACCAGCCTGCTTTAGATCTTGGGGAATTAAATTGACCGACTTCACCCCCTGGTCTGGAGCTGAAGTTGGACACACTTTATGCACAGCAAGCCCAAATCGGAACTTAAGAGAACCTTGTATTAAAAGAAAAAAATTAGCAATCATTATCTGTTAAATATTGCTTCGCCACCAACATTTTAGCACGTTTGGAAATACCCTGTTCCTCGTGGTTGTTTGAACCTTCTATTTGGGATGTACTCAGTCACTGATCAATCTAGCTTTCATAGGAGAGTGGAGACGCTATAACGGTTCCAGAAGGAGAGCTTGGAACGCGGTGTATGTGCCCATCTGCATCCCCCGCTATGAGGAGCTCTGTGATCTGATTCTCTTAACTTGTGCCTCTTTTTCTGAAAGTGGTTCCCATGCATGAGTCCACTCTAGGTATAGCTTCACTACATTCAAGAACCGAACTCTTTCAAAGACATAAAATGTTTTTATTTCTGAGATGGCAAATATGATTTAAAAAAAACAACAACAATTCAATGGTAATTCTTAGGACAGCAGCTCTTGCAAAACCGGCAAACCAAACAATGAGAGGCTGCACAGAACAGATCACTGTGGCCCTTCTCTGTAGATCAGGGATAAACTATATTTGATTGCATGTAACGGAAATGAACCAGGAATAGATTATACAAGGCAATGACTCTGACATTAAATGACATTGTGTATTGTGTGAAGAACATTAAAAAAATTATTTTTTAATTCTTCATGTCTCAAATTTTCACTTATCTAATCAGAGACATTTTTATATAGTTAATGTATGTTATAGTTAATGGGCAGATTATAATCCTACTAATCGCCAGAGTTCAGATGCACTGAAAACTGTATTATAAGTAAGAATAGGAAGTAATAATTATTGTATTCACAGTTGCTGAATATCCATAAAGAAGGCACTTCAGAGAGGGTATAGTACATAAAAATAACTGTCAACTCTTAGTTTATTTTACCTATGTTTAACCACTGCTATGAACTTCTTTATTATTTTCCTTTTCTGATCTATAATGCTTTTAACTGGGAAGTATAGCCCACTTCTGATCAAAGGAATATTGCTATTTTTGTCACTTTCCTCCACATTTCCCCTATATATTAAAATTTGATCATAAGTGTCATATGAGTAAGAAGTTCTATGAATCCATTTATAAGAAATTAACTTGAAAATAAACTTACTAACAGGGAAACTTTTTCCCATATAAATTATGACTTGTGTTGCCCTAAAAAGTAAAAAGAAAAAAGCCCATATTTTCAGCTACTGAGCTACAAGAATTGATACGAAGAGCCAAGTTAAGACCTTTTTCTTTCTATAGGGAAAGAACTTCTGTTTAGATTCTGTAGTCTGAATGTCTGCTCACACAGATTAGAGAGTGATCCTAAGTGACCACACCTGGGGAGCCATGTGTTCTATTTCAAAGGATTTTAATTCCTGTATTAGGATACAGAGCCTACAAACAAATTGTAATGACTTCATCACGATATGGCAATTGTAGTACACTTAGTAGCAAAATCTCTAAAACCCTAGGCGTGGTCTCTTTGAACGTTCAAGCCTAATTCACATTTTAGACAGGAAAGTTCACCTAAGTCATAATCTAACAGTTACACATTCTCATGACTATAATTTATCATACTCTATTTATTGAAGTGACAGCTCCTTACAACTAAACTTCAGGTTCTCCGAGCACACTCAGAATTTGTAAGTTTGATTTATACAAGTCCAGGGGAAATCCCTGCATAATCACTTTATAGTGACAGGAATATAATTTGAAAAATTCAGAAAATATGAACTCAATCTATTTTTGTGGAATATTTTTCTTTAGGCATAAAAAAAATCACACTTATATGTATGTGAGGCAAATGTTTTAGGCACGAAAAATGTCCATTAAGAGAAGTGAACATGTTTAAAAAAAAAAAAAGGAATCGCTGTCACTTAACTACAACATCCATTACAGTAAAGGAGGCTGAGACACCTTCTTCCTATTCCCGCTGCAGTAAGCGGTGGTTTCGGAGGAGGAAAAGATCTAGAGCTTCTAAAAGGGTTGGCATGGGAACTATACTTTTTTTTTTTAAGAACAAGATAAGGATAGGAAATGAAATTGTGATTCAATCAAGAGGTCTGAGCAATCTATATCTCCCTTAAAAAAGAAAGAAAATATTTTTTCCTCTCATCCTCACATTATTTAATCTATGATGAGTAAAACCCCTTTATCACATTGGCCTTGTATGTTTGATGGGCTCCCTATTTCTCTTCCCCTTAGCTATTCTCACATTTCAATCAGCCAGGCTGAAATCCCAAGTCAAATCTTAAACAACATGTTTCCATGTCTAAACTCAAGCTGATAGTACCCATGTAGAAGGGGAGAATCTTTGCAAAAACAAACACATCAACCACTCAACATGTCTTCTCAGTTTTCCTTTCTATTTTTGTGGGGGAGGGGGGACTTAAATTATCATGCTATCCTTATATCATTAGAGCAATAATAATACTCTATGAGCATATAAAGAAATAGAATATTTTGATGGTACGCACAATCAGCCTGGGTTTTTTCTTCCCCCATATGTACTGATGTAGACTGTTTTACTCCCTTATTAAAATGTTTGGTTTCACTTACTCAATGGACGAGTTATGTTCATCTTTATTTAGGTATCTTTGCTATCCTGTCAAAGGAACATAATAAATACATTCAGGTCTTGCTTCTGAAGTGTCTTATCATTTATTTTCTTTTAAAATTTCCAAGAAAATCAGTCTCTTAGATTGTCTTCACTTATTTTTAAACAGATCTATATTGAGGTTCTTGAAGCTTTTTTTTTAAGTCACATATACCATCCACACAGCTTAAAGAGGTTTGCAGTTTTAAATGAGAGACTTTAATAAGCCTCTGCCTGCGTGATCCAATGAGAACTTACAGTCAAGTTTAAGGTTCTTCTTCTTTTTTAATAAAGAAGAAAAGACATCGGATTGTCTGCCTTGCATATCCACACCTGCAGAAGGACTTTTCCAGTCATCACGATCAGTAAAGTGTTTATTTCATAGAGGCAGGTCCCCTATACGGCCATTCAAGTTCCACCCTGGTGCTTACAATCTGCATATTTTCGTGAATATATATTTTTTCACACAGCGACACAATAGGAGCCTGAGCCACCCTGTTGAATTGGGCAGGCTTACTTTCATTTGTTTTGTTGCAAGTGTTGATTTAATTATACTGCATTATTATCAAAGCTGCATTATGTACTTTTTTTATTCCTTTTACATGTGTTTGAGGTGAAGACCTTGGCTTGGTCTGCAAACAGTGTGTTTCAAGTTATTCCTTAAGTACTAAATAATAAAGAAGAGAGAAGAAAAGATTTTTTTTAAAGATAGCAGACAGTGATCACAAGGTAAAGGGTTAAATGTAAGATCTCCAAGAAACATTTTGAAGTTGATTAAGACTCCAGCTTTGCATTAAACAGTATCGCTTCCACATGAGTTGCTGCTAATACTGTTAAGGAGCAGCTTGAGAGCCCAGTGCTCCACTGACCCCCTCACCCTCCAGCCACCCACCGGGCCTTCCTGATTAGCATTCTACCTGGTTCTCCGAGGAATTCCCATCATCCCCTAGGAGCTCATTCCGTACTTCGTCACTGTAGGCGATCCGTGACCTTTTCTATAAAACAAAACAGAGAGAGAGCAAGCTGAACGTTAGAAAGTAAAGGCTGCGCAGCATTATTGGAATCAAGGCTGATCATCTCAAACCTCGAGAGCCCCCTAATGGAAACCTACTGGCGAAAATTTGCAAACCAAAGTTGCAGAAAGTTCCAGGGAACTTAAAAACGTGAATGTAAATCAGAAGGTTTTAAAAATGACAATAATGAGAGAAAATGCTGCATTGTGTGAGGACTCGATTAATATTAATAAATGGATCAGAACTTGTAGATTACCCCATACAGAGCCATTCAAATTAGGCCACTATACTGAAAGAATACGTCTGCATAGCTAGCTATTGGCCAAACGAGCCAGATTGTAATTACCACAGGAGAAGATGCATCGGGAAATGGGAGATTACAATTCATGTCTTCAAAAAACCTCTCTCTCTAGAATATCTCCAACTACTCTGTCTGGAATGCCTGGAATAAAAAGCACATCTATATTTCCTTCACATTTGTGATTTTATTAACTAGAAAAAAGGAATGTAAAAGCCCATCCTTTCCTCAGCATTTAATTTTCATGTCTCCGTGTCCTCTATAAATAATGGCCTACAGAAAAGTCCTGGGAGTGTGTGTGTGTGTGTGTGACAATTTTCCACTCCAAGCAAATAAAGGTAAGCAGCGAGTCCACATTTTACATTCCCAGTAAATAAAAGCAAGTGAGCTGAGTCAACATTTCACACACTGAAATTTTGTTTGATATGAAATCTACCCATACTTATAAAGCCAGAGGGACGTATCTGCAAGCAGTCTATGAATTATCCAAGCGTACACACATCTGAAAGGCTCTCAAAATTAGTTGGGAAGCTAGCGGCCCGCCTCAGATCCCACTTCAGCACTACTGTCTCAGGCCAGAATGCAGGTTTGTGAGTTATTTTGTTGCCTTCTCTGTTTTTGAAGTTACTAGGGAAGAACTGTGTGCACACACACACACACATACACACGTATACATATATATGTATATGTTTAATGGTACACAGGGAAATAGAATCTTTCTCACTGGGGGTCTTCAGTCTAGAGTTGTCTACTGCGAGGCCGCCATCTGAATCAGTGTTGTCATTTGAAAGGGACCACTGATAATCTCTGGGTTTTTAACTAGTGAATGGGTAACACTGCTTTGCCATCCAGTAAGCACACCTTAACCATAAAACCTCATTAGGATTTAAAGGAGCCCTCGTGGCACGGTGGGCTACACAGTAAACGGCAAGGTTGGCAATTGTAAGACTACTGGTGTAGTGTTTACACATTGAGCTATTAACTGGAAGGCTGGCAGTTTGAAACCACCTTAGGACAAAGAAAAGTCTTGTACTCCAGAAGTCTCAGAAACCTACAGGGGCCCTGACCTATAGGGTGGGGCACTTCGACCTTGAACCTACAGGGTCTCTATGAGTCGGCATTGACTCAATGGCAGGGATTGGAGGGCAATGGCCATGAGGTTGGCGGTTCCCGTGAAGATGTACAGGTGTGGAAACCCTCTGTAACCGCTTTGCTCCGTCCTATAAGATTTCAATGACTCAATCGATTTGAAGTCAGTGGGTTTATTTGTATTTAAAAGGACTTTCAATGAGGCTAGCCAATAGACAACAGGGCGTCTGCATCTGAGCCACAAAACACAAGCCATCATTTCATTGACCATGTTCTGCTTCTCGCAAGCACGTAAGAACCAAAGAGGGAAACTATTCACTGCCACGGGAGAGTTGGTACTGTGGGGCCTCTGTGTTGGAACCCACGTTGAAAGAGGGTGAATGGAGCATAAAGTAGAAATAACTAACTCTGAACAACCCCTGATTTCATAGACAGAAACCTCTGAGCCCCATGAACTCTAAATGGAGCCGTGCTGGAATAGAGATTCGAACTGGACAGGGGGCAGGGGGTGGGGGGTGGGGGGTGGTGTGGCGCAACTCGGTGGTCTTTCTACCACATCAAATGTCCTCCCCTTGTATTACCCTTGATACCCTGAGGAAAACTGTCTAAAAACTGAAAGAATATTTCAGGCTGAAGAAGATGGTGGCATGCCCTCCTGGACCTACCTGGGCCCCAGCCTCATCCCCATCTCCTTCTCTGTCACAAATGTTTGTCTCATGCCTGTGAAAATGCCCACTGGTGATGCCCACTGGAAGAAATAAAGCCAACACCATGGCAGAGAAGGCGTGGTGATGAGTAGTCGTTGGCCCGAGGTCATAAAAGATGCTTCGATCACATCTTTGGTAAATTCAAGAGTGGCCCAACCCATTCATACATGAGCATGCTGGACATCTTACCAGCGGCAAACGGCATATCTAGAACTGCCCGGCTCTGACTGCGGTCACGGGTGGTACGATTAATTCGTCAGTTCTACTGACTTCATCCTGAATTGTAGGGAGAAGAGCTCCCTGGAAGGATGTGCTCTTTCCGGCCTCACTACAACGGTGAGGGCCAGCCAAACCTTGCTACTGCCTCTTTGGAGATCCCCAGTACAGCAGTTTCAAACTAGCTGAGCAAAAGTCGTTTACAGCATTAAAGGAAATGAGAACCTTTAAACAGGCCGTGGTATCAGAGCTGCCTCTTTAATTATTCATTTCATCACTATGGGGGACTAAAACACTCCACAGTATGCGAGAATATCACATGGAGACTGTATTTGTTTCTCCCTTTTTTCACCAAAATTACCAACAAATTAGCATTGATTGTTCAATTACATCATATTCTTATGTGGATTTCTTGTAAATCAAGAGAAGAAGGAAAGTGCAAGTGTGTAATCCCTGACTATTCAATCTTCATTTGGGTAGAAGCCTTTGCTGAAAACCAGCAATTAAAACGTGTTCACGCTCTGAAACAGAGAAGAACTGGACAAGGTGTGTCCTTGGTAGAAGCAAGGTCCCTCTAAGTGTCATTCTTTACCATCAGGAAGGTAAAACCTGGTCCTCTGGGTGGCTTTCTGGGTATAATTAAGCCAGTGATACGCTAAGTGTACAATGCGCTGTCTGACAGAGCTGATTTCTCTTAAGGAATGCAAAAGACCACCACTCATTTCAAATACCAGCCATCGTTGCTTATAAAAATGACACACCAGGGCTGAAAATCGAACCCTTTACCACTGAGATCCATTTGGGGGAGGACTAGGGGGCGGCGCCTCTGTTTTATTAAGGATTGTACATAGATGCTCCATCTTGGTATTTCCTCCCAGTTTTCTCAGGCTTGAAAATTTAAGTAAGCTGATTGCAAATCAACCATCATTTAACTTGCAAGGTTATCACTCCACTAATTGAAAACCAGACAGGGCAAATTCCTTTGGCTGACAGACTACTTATTTATGGGTGACTTTCTTCCAAAACACCCATAAAGTTCCTGTGCCTTTCATGAAATGCCTTCAAACACCCGATTCTGCATGACAAAGTATGACATGATACTTTAATTTGGGGGTTCCAAAGTTCATGACACTGAGACACATCTGTTGTCACTTGATAACCCTCCTGAAATGTCTTTACGTTATGATCAATTGTATTTAGCCAAATTGTACTTTAGCCAACTGCAAGCCTTAAGAATTTCTGCTGGAAATGTCACACACTCAGCTACGGTTTGAAGGAACCCAATTCATAATGCATTTTATAAATAGTTAATGACTTCTATACATAAGCTAACCAGGCAAATCAAGAAATTGTCAACATTTTTAGTCTTAGTTGTCAGTTACCACTGTCTACGGGTGCCTTCTCTGTGGCTTCTGGAGACGACAGAAGCGCTCTGCAGTCTATAATCTACTGCAGTTTCGGGTCTGTGCCAGAAGGGTGGCAAAGCTTTAACTGGCAATCTGTGCCCCCTCCCCGGTGTTAAAGTGAAAGCATTCCTCACTCTTCATTGTGTGTCTGTGTAAAGCTTATTCCCTTAGAAAAACACACTCAGGTGCACCAAACACAGTTGGACAGAGAATCTACAGACCAGTGAAGTATAGAAAATACAAGTACCAGGCAGATCCACAACTGCTTTCTATCTCCAAGAAGCTGGACACAAAGAATTTGCATGGCTGTTTTACACTGATGACAAAAGTGAGAGTCTTGAAGGTGAGAATTTCAGGTTCAAGGCTATTTTCACTCCCTAGATGAACAGAACTTTTGCTTCCCGGCTGGTGATTTTCTTAAGGCCAGGTTCAAACAGATACACTTGCTCAGTTTTGTTGGGAAATTTGGCTTGAGACAATCTATCTACTTGACTGGAGCCTTCACATTTCCCAACTGAACTGAACGCGTTCTTGGACAGGCCCTGTGAAGGGAGAAGCCAAACGAATTAACTTAGCTTAAACTAATTAAGAACTGTGATCTGTGGGATCACCTCCTGGAGGATTCTACATGGGAAATTGGGGTGCACAAAACCACAATGAGGATTCGACAACCCACCACTCGTATAAGCCTAACAATGAAGTTGGTTTATTACTAAAGCGTATATGAGAATTTAATTTCCATGGCGTGCACATGGCAAAGCGATTGCTTAAATTGCCTCACCTGGGAATTTAATACAATGTTATCATCAGACCAGCCACATTGTAAATAGATTTATAATGCTTTCCATGTGCGGAGCTCTGTTGCATATGAATTAAGTAATGATCTGGTATTACAATAAAATCAGCTCGTTCCCACACCTGGCAGACAGGATATTTCACTAAATTAATACTCATACAGCTACATCACAAGGCATGGGAGAGGAAGCCATCTGTAAGGCATTGCACGTGAGTTTTACACGGGCGGGCGGCAAAGACGCCATGACTGTGTAGGGTGTCGCTGCTCGGCACAATCTGTTTCGAGCATCTGTATCTAAGAATTAAGACTTTCACATTCCCATTCCATTTTGGCCTGATTGTCTCCAGTCCGCACTTTAATTACTAGTCAGCAATCCACAACATTTCACACACACTAAGAAAGCCCTTTATTCTAATCTATGTGCTGCAGACAGCCAAATAATTGATACAAAGTGCGCTATGGTTTTTCTA